TAGTTGATAACAGTCAAACAAAAACAGAAACTGTGAGGAAAAAAAACTCAAACTGTCTTTGTTTTTTTAACAATATATAATTGTATATAATCTATAATTCATGTCAGTTTTTGATGTTTATGATGAAAGTGAAACCTGTAATCAGAGTGTGGAGAAGCCAAAGCCCTGCAGAGTTCATTAAAGTTCAGCAGCAGGAGAAGAAACAGACTGAAGATGAAGCTGAGGCTGCAGGAAAAAAACAAATAAAATATAAAAAAATAAAAAGCATCTGTGGGTCATTAAAAAGCACCAGGGTTAATCATCTGAGGAACAGGCACGGACTCCACACTTCACTCCATTGTTCATTAATTTTTCACAGTCGCTGTTTACAAGTGGAGGTTTGACCTGATGGAGGTGGTGGAGGAGGAGGAGGAGGAGGAGGAAGAGGTCTGGTGACCTGTTACATTCACTCCTTTACTGTTGAATATGAACTCCCATTAGTAACGTCTCACTCTGGACAATACACCAGAGACAACGAACCCAATCTAACGTTCGTGGACAGAGGAGCTGCTTGTCCAGTGCTGCCTCATGTGGTCAGGTTGTGTTTTACAGAGGTTAATATTTATAACAACAAAGACACAAAAGTTTTTTCAAGCTGACCAACGGATGAGGAATGGATGAGAATCTTCTCTGTTGACCAGTTTCTCAGGAGGAAGGATCAGGACCAAAAAAAAAAACAAAAAACAAAAAACAAAAATGTTGAAGACATGACTTTCAAACTGTAGAATCAACCAAATGCCACCACCGTCAACCACCGTCTTCACCAACACTAATCAACTTTTGTTTTGGTGTTCTCCATTTCTGCCTGAACTGCACAGAGAATTTCAAACCCCCCAAAGTCACAGTTCATCACATATAAAACCAGCCGTGGATGCAGTGATGTGACTTTTGACCCTTGGTTCGTAAACCTCCTCCACGAGGCTGTTGAAAACCAACAGAGTGTAGTGACGTGTTTGGACCTGCAGGGCTGGAAACCTGCACAGACCTGTTTACACACTTGTGTTTCCTATTGAAACGGCTAAGGATAAAAACGCAAGAAGAAAAAAAAAGTGCTGATGAAGATGAAGATGAAGATGAAGATGCAGATCCTTATCTCACACCCCCGATCCCCGGCTTTGTTTTTGCTGCAACAACAGAAAAGGTCTTCCACAAACTCCCTCTCATTCCTGTGGATGAGATGAAGCAGCAGCAGCCTCAGCAGCAGCAGCCTCAGCAGCAGCTTATGGACCAAATG